ATACCCTTGGAGAGTTATCAAGGGTCAGGATCTTTTGGGTATAACTGGTCATGATGAACATGTGATGCTTATGTTACGGAAGCTGTTAGAAGGAAAGGTAGTTTGTGCTTAAACTAAAACCCAAACAAAAACCTAGGACAGAATAAGTTGAATTTGGTCTCTCATAAGTCTCATACGCCCTTCTGAGTTCCTGTGGCTGATTTATAAAGGCTCCTGGGTTTCTGTGATCTGCACAGTTTCTTCCTCTTTCCACTCGGTTATGTGTGTTAATTCTTGCTAACATATTATATAAGACGGCGCTAAGATATAATACAGCAATTCTAAAATGTATATAAATGTAGAACTGCCAGTTTCTTTTCTTGGAGGCATGTGACCGTGGTTTGGTGTGGTCTATGCAAGTCTTTCAGTTCACATATCATTTAGGTGTTCGGTCACTGAGAAGTGAGTATCAGCTGGCAGTCTGGAAATATTAGCTTAGCCATGCTGATGTAAGATGAAGGGAGGCAGGAAATGTTAACATTGTAGTTATTTTTCTATTGTATAATTTGAGGCATAAGATATATTTGGAATATTTTTCTCATTGTGGACTCCTTCTGTCTTGTTTTGTTTTAGGGCAAAATAATGTTGATAATAGGCTGAATTATAGCTCTGTCGGAGAGGGCTTGGCTAGTATGCACAAGTCCCTAGGTTCAATTCCTCAGAGCCACAGGGAGCTAGATGAGTGTTGGTGCTGGACCTGGGAGTGGTGGCTCTCGCCTGTAATGCTGTAATGCCAGACCCAGACAGGAGGATCAGGAGTTTGAGCCCACCTAGCCTACATCCAAAGCAAGACCATGTCTCAAAAAGTGAATAGATAAAAGTTGGTATTAGACTTTTGAATGGGTTTATAGTAACTTTAAAGAACTTCTAATAACATTTCCTGTGTACTATTTTTTTTTTACTGTTTAGTTTTTATCTGCTTCCAAAAAATTTCATGAAATTTTGAGTTTTTTAACTCTATGTGTTCCTGTTTTTTAAATACTTTATTATTTTTATGTGTATGAGTGTATTGCCTGCATGTATGTGAGCGCACCCGTGTCATGCAGTGCCGCAGAGTTGAGAGGAGGGCTTCGGATTCCCCTGACCTGGAGTTAAGGGCTTTGGATTCCCCTGGACCTGGAGTTAAGGATGGTTCGTAGCCACCATGTGGGTGCTGGGAATTGAACCCAGGTCCTCTTTGAGAGCAGTCAGTGCTCTTAACCGCTGAGCCATCTCTTCAGCCCCCTTGTTCCTGTGTTTGATGGATAGTATTACTAAATGTTATTATTACACCTCACATACAGAAGGCAGTACTCCATCTCTGCCAAGGAGAGAATAGATAGAAAAGAAATTCTGGTGTTTGGTTATATGTGTAAAGATGGGTTGATCACACAAAGGTGCTCCAACTCCAGATCATCGTCCCGCTCTTTCCTTACTGTTTCATCGTGCCTAGAACTAAGCAGAGTCATGTCACGTTGCTTATTTCTATCCTTTTTTATGAAAGTAAAGGTCTGTCTCCGTAAAGGTGGCTGTGTTTCGGTGTTTCTGCTCTGCTTTTCTCTCAGAGCATATTCTAAAGCCTCACCTCATCTCCTTCCCACTCACTGTGGCACCTTTACCCACCTTTCCTCTTCAATACAAGTCATTGGGAATGAGTATGAAAGTTTCCTACTTTGGGTGTTCATAATTGGATTTGGCAGGCTGCTTCCCTGGTTAGATTTGCTGTTATGGTGTGGATGCTGCACTAGATAGCTTTCACCTGCTCTTGTAGCTCTGGCCTTTACCTTGCTTTAGGTGGTTGGCCTTTGTAGACATACAAATGGGATCCCTGTATCTACTTTCTGGTTGAGTTCTGGGGCATGGTTGACCCTGTTAGATTTTTGAGGCCTGGCTGCTCTCTGGGTTTGGAGGTTCTGCTGACTTCCTCCCTTTTATTGCCAATGGCTGGTAGGAACCTCTGCTACTACTAAGCTTAGAATACTACACCATAGCCTGTGTGTTCACAGCCGATCTGAGCTTTGTAACAATCTTTTGATTAACTTTTCAAAATACCCAAGAGTCTGTGATCCATTTCCCAAGTAACCCTGATTGATAAAGTATACTTTAAAATTTTTGTTGTGTTTTTGAGGGGTCTCCCTGTAGCCCAGACTGGCCTCAGTCTCACAGAGATCTGGCTGCTTCTGCCTCCCAAATACTAAGGTGTAAGCCATTACACTCAGCACTTTAAAAATATTCTAAATTCTGTCAGTGGTGATAGTGATTGTAATTCTAAAATGGTTTAGCACTAAATAAAGAATAACTCATAGCTTTATGAATTTGTTGGCTAGAGTGATTTTATTTTTATGTTTGGTCTTTGATTTTATTTTTAATTCTGTAATGTTTGGTTTTGAGTATCATCGTTTACTGACCAATTATGGTTCAACTTCCTGCTGCAAGTATTATAATAATCTAGAGGTGCTGCATAGGGCACATACTTAGTGATTGTAGTGTAAGGCAATTTGCAATGAGCTTCCTGTGAAAATTATTAAGCCCTTTGTTCAGAAAAGGGTGATTGTTCTCTCAGGACCACTTTGATTCTATCTCCAGCAGGATGGAAAGTAGTAGATCCACGTTGTCTGAATTCCTGATAAGAAATAAATCTTTGCTTATCTAATCACCCACCACTGCAAACTTAAGAGACAAGTCATATAACTAATACTATACTAACACTACTGTATTTGTGTGTATGTGCGTCAAATGTATTAACTCATTTAACCTGCCCAATATCCCTGTAAAGTAAGTTCAATTATTATTTATATTTTACATGTGAGGCATGTCATACAGCTATCAAGAGTTGGCAGGGCTAGAATCTGAACTCAGGCAGTTTGATTCCCTAGTTCAGGCTCTCAAGCACCACAACCACATTATGCTATAATTAGAATTCCCTGAAGAGATCATCAGAATTAATCCCGTTATGTGTTTAGCCTTTGTGAAGATGGCTTTTAGGGTCAGTGTTACTCCTCAGTGCTGTTTCCAGCCCCTACTCCTGGGTTCTTCTATCAGTAGATTTTTATCATTATTAGGGTCAGTGTTACTCCTCAGTGCTGTTTCCAGCCCCTACTCCTGGGTTCTTCTATCAGTAGATTTTTATCATTATTAGGGTCAGTGTTACTCCTCAGTGCTGTTTCCAGCCCCTACTCCTGGGTTCTTCTATCAGTAGATTTTTATCATTATTAGGGTCAGTGTTACTCCTCAGTGCTGTTTCCAGCCCCTACTCCTGGGTTCTTCTGTCAGTAGATTTTTATCATTACGGTGTCGTGTAGTCATACCAGTCATTTCCTCTGAATCCCATCAGCTCTTAGCTCCTTAACTTTTTTCTTGCTAGTGCCAATCATGTCCTGACATTCCAAGTATCCACATGAGTCATCCTGATAGCATTCTGAGTCCCCCATCTCTTATCTCCATCCCATTTTAGATAATCTATGTAACTACATCACCTCTCAGAGTTAAAGTATTTTGCTGTTTGACCTCTCACTGCCAAGGTACACATGTGGAAGTCAGAGGACAACCTCTGGGAGTTGGTTCTTTTCCTTTCACAATGGGTTCCTCCATCCAACTTGGGCTCTCAGGCTTGTGCCACAAGCACTTTTACCTGCTGAGCCATCTTACCCAGCCTCCTCTTGTTTTGGGTTTGATTTCTCTCAGTCCGCTTAATGATCTTGAGGTTTCTTATATCATTACACCATTCCTTTTGTTTGCTGAATAATACCTTGCTTTGACTCTTTCACCATTTATCCACTCATCTCCTTATACACATTTGGTTGTATTCTTCCCAATTTGGAGTTACCAATAAAGCTGCTGTGAATAACTCTGTCCGGTTCTGAGTGTGGATACGCGCTTTCATACTCTTTGGGCAAGTATCTACAACTAGAATGACTGGGTCACAGGCTCCGTGTATATTTAGCTTTTAATAAGCTGCCAAACTGTTTTCCGCAATCGTTGCACCTTTTGCAGTCCAGGTGCTCCACATTCTCATCACCATGAACTGTACTCAGCCGCTCACCTTTTCCAGTGGCTGTTCCCTGGATCTGCATTCAGTGAGTGTCGCCATCACGGGGCGGTGTCTCAGGATCATTTCCTACTGATCATTTGCCACATGGGAATCTTCTTTGGTGAAGTGACTGTCTGCCTTGTTTGCACTTTCTCTATTGTATATTAGGGTTTTGGGTGTGTGTTTGGTTTGGTTTTTTTTTTTTTAAAGATACAGTTGTAATACAGGAGTTCTTTGGGTTCAGGGTCTTTCAAATTCTTATTTTTTCTTGGTTCTTTTTTTTTCTTTTAAGTTGTTTGAATTTTAAATTTTAATCAAGCCCACTTTATCGAGTTTTTTCCATTTATAGTTCTTTTTTGAGCTTTTTGTGTCCTGTTTGAATTTTAATTTAATTTCTCTTAATTCTTCAGAAAATTAATGTCTTAGATTGTCATTGAATTAAGAAAAGCACAGACTGCGATTATAAAGGTAGAGTCCTGTCTTGTGTTCGCGTTGTTATTGTTACTTATTAAACTGTTCATGATTCTGGTATTTGTGTGTTCGTTTTGGTTGGTTTTTAGCTTGCTGAAGGGCACATAAAATTGCTGTTGATTAGGTTTCTGTTTTTTATGGGAAAAGGAGCCTAGGTTCATGGAGATTACGTGATGGTGCTAATGATTTACAGCTTCAGATCATGACAAGACCAGAACAATCCAGATGCACTCACATCCCAGTTGGCAGTTTATTTCCCCTTGAAATTCTTGTTATGATTGTATTGTAAAATTTTACTGTGTCCTACAGCATATTTAAATAAGTTCAGTTCCTAAATTTTTGCCTATGGTAAAGCTACCCACTGAAAACAGCTTTGCCCAAGTTAAGCTGGCTAGCATTCTACAAGACCCTGAAAGTTCTGCGAAAGTTTCACTGAGTGGAGACATTGAATTTAATGCTTTGTTCTTAATTCTTCCCAAAGGTCTGTAAACAGATTTGGCTAGGATTATTTGATGATAGATCTTCAGCAATTCCAGACTTCAGGGATCCACAAAAAGTGAAAGAATTTCTACAAGAAAAGTACGAAAAGAAAAGATGGTGAGTGAGTAGTTTGTATCTAAGATACCCTCCCCGGACTACAGTCAGGCCGAAGACTAGCTCGACATGAAGAGGGAGGGAACGGGGAGGGGGGGAGGGAGGGAGGGCAGAAACGGAAGGGAAGAAAGGCTTAAATAGGTGATGGACAGGTAAATTCTTGTCATCTTTTGAGTTTTGGTCAGTTTGGTTTGCAAACCCTTTACTTCTCGTTATCTTAGCTCCTCTGTTCCTAGCAGCAGCCATTTCCTTAGGAAATCTAGATTCTTCTCAAGGAAAGTCATTGACCTCTCCTTCTGGTTCCTCCTGTTAGATTGTCTAGAAAATTTTAGCCCTATAATGACCCCTAGAACCTTTTCCTTTAGCACATATTTATCGAGTAGAACCTTCCAGGCATTATATTAATGCCCCTGTGTAGTGATCTGTCCATGTAATTGCATCTTGCAGTGAATCTTTACTTAAAATATCCCTAACTTTCCACCAAAGAAATTAGTTTGCTAGCTGGTTAAGAAGGGGGCATTTAAACTCCCTTCATACCCTACGCAAAGCCAGGGTGTCCCTGAAGCAGAAAACCGCGTTTATAGAGCTACTGATCAGCTCTTAGGGGCCCCTCAGCTTCAGCCTTCTGGAACAGCTGAAGTACAGCTGGCGAAGACTCATTAGCCAGGAGCTCTGCGTTGTTGATTTAACAGTGAGTATTGAAGGACAGATATTCCTTCCTGGGATTACGAAGGTGGGAGAGTGAGGATAGAGGGAAGGGTTAACTGGGAAGAAACCTACCACTTGTTTCCCTGAGGAATAGTGTTTTAATCCAGGGAGTAATATGTTCTAAGCCCACACTGGCTGGAGGGCACACTTACTGTGGTTTATCATGGAGCAGTCTTTTCATTAACTAGTAAGCACACTGTGTTGCGCTTGTATTGTTGTTGTCTCAAGTAGACCACCTTTTAGAGCTTAGATTAACTAGGACTATGTCACCTGTACTAGATACGTTAGATATGAATATATGGTAAACATATTAATATAATTTTAGTTCAAGAAAGAAGAAAATGTTAGAAGGTCCCCAAAGTGATAGTTACATATATCCTGATGATTCTCTCAAAGTGAAAAGTACCCTTTTGTCATCTGTTCTTAATCTGCTCAGTTTTCTAATCCCAGAAGAAACTGTTCTCCTTGAATAGCCCTGATATGGTTTTTGGATTGCTCGGCAATGTTAGTTTCAACAATTTAGACAGTTTGGTTAGGACTTAGCTCACTGGGGTTGTACTTAGGTTAGCTCTAGGTACAAAGGAAAAAGTGGGTATGAAGAATAAGGAATGTAAATAATGGTGGTAGAATTGAAACCCCAGATTCCCACCCCTGCATCCCAACCACCATCCAAAGAACTGGAAACCTCAGGTAATGATAGTTTGTCTTCTTTTCTCCCTCTCTTAGGAACCACAGTAGTCATAAGAATAGTGCAAATACAAACTTTAGAAAGTGATAGGTTAAGTTGTTGGTCATGGTTCTCAAGACCCAGAACCTATATACACCTTTAACTCCTGCTTCTGCACGCTTGTAGCATGCAATTAGAGAGCAGTGAATGGTTTTTACCGTGGTCGGAGCAGCATCCATCCAAATGCAGTCTCCCTAATGAGCATTTGTTTTCAGGAGCAACATGGTCGTGGTGTTATCCAAGGGTAGTTTGAAATTGTTCTTCTAGCCAGTTTTCTGAATCACTTCTCATACAGGAGAAGCTCTTTAACTAAGTGGAGCCAGTCTTCTGAGCCACAAACCCTGATTTGGTCTTGTTCTGCAGTCAGGCTTGTCTGTGTGCTCAGGAACTTTTGTCCTCAGTGGGACGCCAAAGTACTGGACAGTGTAACTTGGGTTCATTCTCAGATTTCATCCTCTCTTTTCTGTGGGAAAATAGTTGTATTGCTTGTGGTTATTATGTGTTAGATGATAGCTACTGCTTCATGTAGTTAACTCACTAGGAACTGATTCTACCAGCCCTACAAATGTGAATTCATTTAAACCTTGCAGCATCTCCATGGGTGAAGAAATGGTTGCATGGAGTTGAAATAATTTGCCCAAAGTTTCATAGCCATTGAGTGGTGGAGCTGGGATTTGAACTGTCTCTCGAATAAGCACTCTTAACTACCTTAGTGTTTTATTTCTCCCTCATCTTTGATATGGTGAATGGGGAAGGGAGTAGGAATGCACCTGGAATCACAGAGAGCAAAAGTTGCCAACTAATTCCATGCCTAGAGCTGCGTGTTGCTGACCCGGACCCTGTGCTCCCACTGCCGCCGCTGCCTCCTTCCCTTCCTTCTCTCTGTGTCTTCTTTACATGGCAGGGGTCACACCTGACGTACCTGCTGTTATGGGCATGTACATGTCAAAGCAGGGCAGTAGCTATGTAGAACTATGCAGATTTTAGACAATCCCTTTAAAGATTTTTCTACTGATAAATGTTTTGTTTTGTTCTTCAATTTTTTTAGATTGTAAAGATTGCAAGGGTAATGTACACGTATTTCTATATTCTTAACTAATTACTCCTGAAGGATAAATTTCTAGAAGTAGTACTTCTCACATACAGAGCTCAGAGCATACCTATGTAGATACTTTCATTAGATGGTAACTGAAAATTTATAAAGTTTATAGAAAGCACAGGTGAATAATGCCTTAATTTTCATTTTTAGTCAGGCGTGGTGGTGACTCTCAGAGGGCAGAAACAGGCAGTTCTCTGGGCTTGAGGCCAGCCTGGTCTGCATAGCAAATTCTAAGCCATCTCCCTGGGACTGGGAGACCCTCTTTCAAATCTCTCCTGCAAAAAAATTTTGTTTTCATTTTTATTTGGTTTCAGTTTTTACAGTCTTTTATAAATTCTTTTTTCCATTTTAAAGTGAAGTTGTTGATCTTATTTTTGGTGATTTCTACATTTTATGCTACTAATTGTAATAGATGTTTCTTCACCCTTCATTCCAAGTGTTTATGATCGTAAGATTTTCTTCATTTAAAGAATTGCAGCTGTGGGGCTGGAGAGATGGCTCAGCGGTTAAGAACGCTGGCTGTTCTTGCAGAAGACCCAGGTTCGAACCCCAGCACCCACTTGGTAGCTAACAACTGTCCAAAACTCCAGTTCCAGGGGATCCAATGGCCTCTTCTGTCCTCTGAAGGCATTGCATGACACGGCGCACTTACCTACATGCAGGCAATACACGCATACACATAACATAAAAATAATAAATAAAATATTTTAAAATAAATGTAGCCTTAACCACTCATCCTATGTTTAAGTGTCGATCCTGTATTTTCAGAAACGCAATTGCTAAACTGTACTGTTTTAGGGAAAGCATGAGTTGAATAATTGAAACATGTTTTCTTGCTAGTGTTTGTTATTCTTTCTCTGAGTAATTTCAGTTCCATACAGTCTCACTGTCAATTCTCGGTGGTACCTCTAAAATACGATTAATATTGTGAAGGTTTAGTTTAAAATTTGAATTTGATGTTTTAAATATGGGGTTCCTTACAGTCTCTTGACAGTGTGCTCGGCTGATTTCATGTTACAGGTATGTGCCCCCAGAGCAAGCCAAAGTGGTGGCATCGGTGCACGCGTCTATCTCAGGGTCTTCTGCCAGCAGCACAAGCAGCACACCCGAGGTCAAACCACTCAGGTCTCTCCTGGGGGACTCCGCGCCAGCACTGCACTTAAACAAGGGCACACCTAGTCAGGTGAGGCCTTAGAGGACTTAAAGGAACTTCTATTTAAGGAAGATTGGGTGTTAAGAACCTTGGCTACCATTAGCATTATATGCTAATGATGTGAAAAAAACTGTTAAACATTGTTGGGTGTGGGTAGGAATGTTTGTCTTTTTGTAGGTTTTTTGATCACTTTGCACAGGTACTCAGGAATGTTGCTCAAGCTCCCTATATTACAGTGTATGTAGAATAATACCTACCTCTATAGAGTACAAGTCTGGTGACCAGCACAGTTAGCGCAGAATAGCCTCTCTGATGTTCTTTAGCAGAAACTATTAGCCTTTTCCCAAACACCTGACTGTATCATGGCTATTATCACTGAAGTGCATGTGGCTATCCAGGATGCCTTACTCCAGAAAATGGAGCAGAATTGTATGTTGGTTCCTAAGTACTTTATTATGATTGGTGGTGCTGTGACAGATGTGTTTCTGTGTGGCATCACTGACTCTGTGCTGTACATGAATGGTTCTGAAGCACAGTTCTGATGGTTAAAGCCTATCATTTGGACAGTGCACTTAGGGCTTCCAAGTTAAATTGTTCTGTTTTCACAGAGCTAAGTGTAAACAACGAAGTGAAGCTAATTAAGCCAGCATGCCAAACCCTTCCTGTGTGGAGGTGTGCCTTAAGCTTGGTGATTGGAGATAGTTTATATAAGAATTGAGCAGTCTGACTGGAAAGTCTTTCTAGCTGTATACAGGTGTGTATTGTATTAGAAAAACTGAGTGAACACTGTGGTTTGTAGTCTCCAGTTGTCGGTCGCTCTCAAGGACAGCAGCAGGAGAAGAAGCAGTTTGACCTTTTGAGTGACCTTGGCTCAGACATCTTTGCGGCTCCAGCTCCTCAGTCAACAGCTACAGCCAATTTTGCGAACTTTGCACATTTCAACAGTCATGCAGGTATGTGTTCTCCTGATAGCTTTTGCCTAGGATGTATGTAGATCACTTAGAAACTTTTATTCTTCATTAAACTTAGGTATCAGTAAACATACTCCATTGAGGATATTTTGGCACCCAGGAATATAGACATCTAACTGTGATACTTTGGGTGGAAAGACTTTTTAGATAGGGTCTCATGTAGCCCAGTCTGGCCTTGAACTCCTGATCCTCCTGTCTCTACCTCTTGATTGCTGGGATTGCGGGGGTATGCACAACCATGGTGCTTTTTCAGCATAAAAGAGATACATATGTAATTCAGAGTATGACTCCTTTATGTGGAAAAGTACATTTAAAAATCTTACATTGAGCTTCTACCCTATCCTCAGGCCTCTCGGGGTGGGTCCATCGCGGAGCCCTCCGCGGATTGACTCCCCCGGCCTCATTCGCCCTTCCATCTCCGCCGCTGTTCTCTGCTTCTGGTTTGGGCCCTGCGCCATTCCTGGTCTTGGGTCCCCAGACACCTGGGGAACAGGTGCTGCTTCCTGATCGTTTTCAACCAGGCCAGCTTGGGGCCTTCCTTGGGCCCCAGGGGCACTGCTTCCGCGGGACCTGGCCCCACCCTCACCTCTCCCTGCTGCCCGGACCTGCACCACTGGCTAACTCTCCTGGCCCACTCTCCCCAGCGGCGCTCACCCTTCCATCTCCCCCGCTGTTCTCTACTCCTAGCTTAGTCTTGGGTCCCCAGACACCTGGGGAACCAATACTGCTTCCTGATCTTTTTCACCCAGACCAACTTAGTGCCTTCCTTGGGCCCTAGGAGCACTGCTTCTGGACCTGGCCCCACCCTCACCTCCCAGAT